TTTAGCAATGTTTATGGTGTGCTCTTACCAAGACCCGAATGCTGGTTAAGGCTTTCTTTGTTAAACTAGATTGCTCTCTCTGTTAATTTCTTACCGTTCTTGTTGCTCATAAAACAAGTCTGATAATAGTTATAATGACCAGATGATTTATCTCTAGTGAGAACCCATAGCACCCATTCTTTTTTTTAAAATTATATTTTATTGATTATGCTATTACAGTTGTCCTGGTTTTTCTTCCTTTGCCCTACTTCACCCAGCACCCCCTACTCCCTCCGGCAATCCTCCCACCCCATTGTTCATGTCCATGGATCATGTGTATAAGTTCTTTGGCTACTCCATTTCCTGTACTGTACTTTACACCCCCCTGGCTATTCTGTAACTACCTATTTGTATTTTGTAATCTCCTCATCTCTTCACCCATTCTCCCCCTCCCTGCTCTCATCTGGCAACCTACTAATAACTAACTTCTTTTGCTTTAAAGAGTCTTCCTTTATCTTTAACATTTGGCCTTTTAATAATGACATGTCTTGAAGTGGGCCTCTTTGCATCCATCATAATTGTGACTCTCTGCACTTTCTGGACTTGCGAGTCTGTTTCCTTCACCAAATTAGGGAAGTTTTCATTCACTGTTTTTTCAGATAGATTTCCAATTTCTCGCTCTTTCTCTTCTCCTTCCAGCACCCCTAGGAGGTGAATATTGGACCACTTAAAGTTGTCCCAGTGGCTGTTTATACTATCCTCATTTCTTTGGATTCTTTTTTCTTCTTCTTGTTCTGCGTGATTGTTTTTTGCTTCCTACTGTTCCAAATCATTGATTTCATTTCGGCTTCATTCATACCACTGTCCTCACTAAGTTCCTTGAGTGTCCTTAAAAACAGTGTTTTGAACTCTGCCTCTGATAGATTACTTATCTCCATTTTGTTTAGTTCTTTTTCTGGAGTTTTGATCTGTTCTTTCATTTGGGCCATGTTTCTTTGTATCCTTGTTTTGACAGCCTCCCTGTGTTTGTTTCTGTTAGATAGAGCTGCTTTGACTCTGTGTCTTGGTAGTGTAGCCTAATGTAGTAGGTGTCCTATAGGGTCCAGTGTCATAGCCTCCCCTATCACCCAAGCTGGGTACTTGGGGTGTGCCCTTCATGGGGCCCAAGTACGCCCTTCTTTTATAGTTGAGTCTTGGTTGCTGTTGGCAAATCAGTGGGAGGAATTTACCCAGGTCAGTCAACTGCAAGAACTGGCTGTGACCACTGGCCACCAACTTCTACCCTCCATGGAGGATCAGCTATGCAGGAGCAGGGTGGTGGTGCTCCAATGTGGTCTGTAGCTATCCACTGGGTGTGCAGGCTCTGGGGTTTCCCAGGTGGTATAGACTAAGGTTAGCCTCTACCTGTGTTTTGTCCAGGGCACCCAGCATGAGCTGTAAAGCAATCTGAGGTGGCTGCTACTTGTGCTGGGCTTGGAGATTCCCAGGTGAAGCCAAGCTGTGATTCTAATCTGGCAGCCACTATAGGGCTCACTGCTAGCAGCTGTTGCTAGTTTGATAGGATTTAGGAGCCAACACTAGCCATTCTTATGGAAAAGCAGCTTGGGAGGGTCTCTAAATTGGGTGGGGTAGAGCCTCTTTGGATCTCCAAGGTGGGTCATATAGTGTTAGCCAGGTTGATGGAGTCTCAGATATGGCACAAGCCTACCAGCTCTGAGGGGGGAGGGCTCAGCAAAGGGACAATGGCCTCTGCTCCCCCAGAAGCCAGGCACTTCATTCTCTCCCTGTGTACCACAGGTGCCTGTCAAGCTGCCACCCTGGTGCTGGAGCTCAGGGTGACTGAGTCTGAGTAGGTGAGTCCATCATGTGTGTGTTCCCCAAGAGGAACTGCTTAGGGTTCCAGCAGCCTCCTCCATCAACTCAATCCCCGCTGGTTTTTGCAGCCAGAAGTTGTGGGGACTTATTTTCCTGGCACTGGAATCCTAGGCTGGGGGGCCTATTGTGACAAGGTATCATACCCTCCTGCATTTTTATACACATGGGTTTGGGGGCCAGCCTGTTTTGTGTCTGCATCCCTCTTACCAGTCTGGATGGATGTAGTTTCTTCAGTTCTGTAGTTGTCAGACTTCCTTCCATTCACCTCGATTTCTGATGTCCCTGAGTTATGGTTGTTCTATATTTTACTTGTAATTTTGATGTGGTTGTGTGAAGAGGCAAGCCATTGCTGCCTATGTCGCCATCTTAAAGATATTTTTCATACCCATTATTTTAAGGAAAAAGAAAAGAAGTAGAGGAAAGAGAAAATGCCAAAGTACCTTTTCCCCTAATTACTGTATTCCAGAAGTGGGACTAAGTGGATTTTTGGATCAGACTTCAGTTTCATATGAACTACTTTATCCCTCTTTACTTTTTCTCTAATGGAAGGTGCTTGTCACATACAATGATGGCATTGGCCAAATTGTGTGCCTGGCAAAAGGATGTTTGAGGAGAAATGTGGGTGATATGGGTGATGTTCCTTTTCTTTTTTTAAGATTTTACTTATTTTAGAGAGTGGGGAAGGGAGGGAGAGAGAGAGAGAAACATCAATGTGAAAGAGAAACTTTGCTTGGTTGACTCTCGCACACCCCCAACCAGGACTGAAAACACAATCCAGGCATGTTCTCTGACTGGAAATTGAACTGGTAACCCTTCGCCTTGTGGAACGATGTCCAACCAACTGAGCTACACCTGTAATGGCAGGTGATGTTTCTACTGGGGTAACATCTTTAAATGATTGCATCAGTTATAACATGCATAAAAGATGTAGGTTTGGAAAAAACAGGCAGATATAATAAAGATATCTGAAATTCTAAGTGATCTTGGCACAGCATTTATAATGACAGATTTTAAAAGAATATGTCAAGCTTTTTTATTATTTGAGTGATAACACTGATTTCTTCTGAAGGGGAAAGATGCAGAAAGTGCACATGTTGGCAACATGAGCTTTAGTTCCCTTGGCAGGCGGTGACTGAATTCACTAACCTGTGTTCACAGCCATGCATTATACCAAGGGCTGCAGATAGCAGAGTGCTGGGCTGGTGATGTACACTTGGCCACATACTATCAGAGGTTATATTTCTTCTATAGTTACTTCAGAATGCAACATATTTTTAATCAGCTAACTCTAGTTCTAGGCACTTCATTCTTCCAGTAACTGTTGCCACAAATGTTTTAGTCACACACATTTTGTCCGTTTCTGATGGGGCTCTGGTAGTAATGATCATAACTACCATTTATTGAACCTTATATCGTGTGAGGTACTATTCTAAGTTCTATGAATGTATTAGCTCATTTAACCCTCACAGCTGTCCTGTAGGGTAGGAGCTAGTTTTATCACCATTTTAGAGATGAGGAGACTGAGGTTAACTTGCTCAAAGACACACAATTAGCAGAGTTTTGAACCTGGCACTCTGACTACACAGCCTGTACACTTAATGTTCTTTCTTTTACATTTAATTTTGATGCTATGTTTCCCCCATGTTTCTGTAATTAATGTATATATTCCATAGACTAAAGCCCCACATTAAGGCAGTTACAACTAAAATCTATTTGAACTCTTAGAAATTGCTGACAGATTTTCAGTCCTTTAATGGGACACTAAAATTAATTTAGACTGAAAGTCCACCAATGTATTTTGTCCAAATGATGAATTACTTAATGTCTCCATTTCCTATTTTCTGAAATCCTTATTTTGAAATTTTTTTTTTCTGCTATGTCTTATCCACATTCCATTTTCCAGGTGAATACAGAGGGATTTTTTCCAAACAATTAAAAAACAATAAACATTGTTTTTTAAAACCCATTGCTTTTAACATAATTGGTTATTTTTACCTTTTGATATCACTTATTGAGTAAGAAGATTACAGTTAGTCACATCGTATGTGTTTAACTTATGCACTTGGAGAAAGAGAAAGAAAGTCCTTGCAGGTGTGGCTCAGTTGATTGCAGCATCATCCCACGCACTGAAAGATTATGAGTTCAGTTCCTGGTCAGGGCACATACCTAGGTTGAGGGTTCAATCTCTGGTTTGGGCGCTTATGAGAAGGCAACCAATCGATGTTTCTCTCTCTCTTTTCTCTCTGTCTCTCCCTACATCCCCTCTCTCCCTTCCTCTCTCTCTAAAAGCAATGGGGAAAAAAAAGAAGAGAGCAAGAATAACAATTTAAATAATGTGGTGATTGCATCTGTTATCCCCCTGAGCAAGCCTGTGTGCTGGAGTAATGGGTAATAGGGACATGAATTTATCTTCCCATTAAGCTGGTTTTAGGGAGTATGCCACTCACTGAGTGTTTCACTCTCCTGGATATGATTACTTTTTGATACAATATGGTCCATAAAAACAAGCCGATAACTGGAAAAAAAGTAAGCTCTCGCAAGGCTGAAAGAAAAACTGACTGTGTGCCATGCTTACCGAAAGAGAATGTGTTGATCTCTAATAGGTTTCTCCAGGGTAATTTCACAAATGTGCAATGTCTGCCTTATGTATTTAAGTAACTCCCTCTTAATACATGATTCCTCTGTATTGAGTACCTGCCCAATGCCAGGCACTGTGATAAGTGTCAAAAGAATGAAGATTTGGTTTCATCCTTTAAATAATTCACAATCTTGACAGTTCATAATCAAGGGAGGGCAAGTTTAGGTAATGGAGAGGAAAAAAAGAGTATTGTAAAACTAAACTGGCAAATGCTTATAAATTGTTATAATATGACCCCAAATAGTTTATTTTGGGTGTTACAATAACTTAAAAAAGGAATTATCGTTTTTTTGTGTGTCTTTTTTTTTAATTTTAACACTGTTGTATGTATGGAAGTGACTTGCTAAACTCTGTGGGTGCTAAAAAAAACTATAAGCAAGAATTTTTGCCCTGAAAAATCTTTCAGCTCTGTGCATTTCTCACATATGCTAATCTTAACCTTGTTTACCTGAATAACATGACATTTTAATTATACCTGCCTTACATCATACATAATATTTTTTTCTAGGTTTCTATATATTCTGTACCAGAAAAGATTGGTCAAGTTCACCATGCCTTGGAAACAACTGTGAAGCTTCTTGAATTTTTTCAAAACTACTTTGAAATTCAATATCCACTTAAGAAATTGGGTAAGAATCAAACAGTACCTCTGATTTTTCTTCCCATATTTGTAAGCTAGATTCATTTTGCAAACATTTTTTAGAAAGAACTCTTGCCACAGTTATTATAAAAGAAAACCAATAAACATTGTTAATGATTTGAAAATTATTTGTATTTAAGATCATTTAGATTTCATGAATGTAGATACATTCATGTGGAGCTCAAAACACTTAGAAGTTTATGGGTCTCCTACAAAGGTGCTGTCTTAAGTGGGAACTTGCTTTGGGCTTAGTCTGGAGTTTAAGTAATTTTAACTTCATGAGAAATTTCTGATTCAGATAATAAGAACTGAGCACTGGAAGCTCTGAGTGATGGAGCTCATTCTAAATCAAAGAGAGCTGGCCCTGCACATTGAGAGGGAACTAGGTGTCTCTTTGTTTGCTAAGGAACAGAGAAACAGTGACTCTCCAGGTGTTCCTCAGCTGACGTAGGGGTGAGGGAGCGTACAGGGCTAGAGTAAGGAAGGTTCCATTCGTGAGGAGTGTAAAATGAACTCACTGCCTCCTGATCCACAGTGATCAAGCACTGAGTAAAATATTTTGATTTTAACCAGGGAGTACCTTAAATGAGGGGAAATTCATTACCTTTTTCCTGTTGTGTCCAGATTTGGTGGCTATTCCTGACTTCGAAGCAGGAGCAATGGAAAATTGGGGTTTAATCACCTTCCGAGAAGAGACACTTCTGTATGACAATAATACTTCTTCAGTGGCGGATAGAAAACTGGTTACTAAAGTCATCGCTCATGAGCTGGCCCATCAGGTAGTAGCAACCAAGGCTGTTGGTCTGTTTCATATCCTAAAGAATTAGGATAGGTTTAGATGAGAGTAATGATTCACCTTTTTATTACAGTAATACTTTCATAATAAAATGAAGCTTTTGAGCGCAAACAACTTCAGGTGAAAGTGCTTTTTAATGTTTGTATAGGACTTTACAGTTTATAAAGCATTTTCACATGTATTATCTCACTTTTCATAACTGCTCTAAGGTAAGTGATAATCCCATTTTACAGGTGTGGAAACAAGACTCAGCTTAAGTAAATAACTTGCTCAAAGTCACACAGCTAGTAAGCGGCAGCACTAGGCGTTAAAGAAGCACTACCTCATCAAAGTCACTCTCTCTTTTCCCCCCAAGAATACAGAGCTATTTTGCCTCTGACAAATGCCAGCTGCTCAGTGTAGCTTTGAGGGTGGAAAATCTTTTTCCTAAGTTGTACTCCCACAACTCTTGGACTGTAGTTGTCATGGCTAGATTTATTTTTTTCCTTTCCCCTAGAACTGTATTTTTTTTAATTACTTTTAGAGGGGGTGGGTACTCTTTTATGATGTGGAGAAAAAGAAATAAAATTATACAGGTACAGGACCCTCCTTCTGACTTCCCCAACGCCTTGCCTCTCTTGCATCCTTGATGAGGTGCCTATCAGTGCTGGGTGCAGTTTAGAGATGTCTTAATGGTGGGAGGATATAGAAGAAGCATAGAACATGCTCTGGGCAGTTTACTCCCTGTCCCACACTCAACCTGAACACAACTGTACAGCCCCTGTGAAGACTTTGTGAGAAACCGGTGTATGAAGCATATACTCATTTACGATTACAGTGTTAGGCGTGCAGACAAGGTGTCTTTTACGTAATTTCCTCTAGGTCTATTATATCTGGGGCCTCCCATCACTACTGGAGAGCATTTCTCTGTTACTTTTTCTTTAAGACATAAAGATCATCTTTGTCTGAAACAGGTTTTAAGATAATACCTTTGAAAACTGTGTTCTGGTAATTCACAAAAATGTTTTGTTTCAGTATTTAGTCACATTATCAGTTTGCTGCTGGTCTGAGTGAAGCCCTAGGCCACAGTGACTATTGCATGCCATATCACACTTTATTTTAGGGAATTTTGAGATGCATTTTTTAGGAGAGTCTCCTATCTTTTTTTTTTTCCTTCTTCCTCAAGGAAGACTTTTAAGGTCTATCTTACTTCATTTATTTACATGCATGACAACTTTCTTAAGGAATATTGTTTGAATTCCATTTTGATCATGTGAAAACTGTCCTCAACTTGGGTACTGAGGAGAAACGTGAAGTATGGGTTCTCAGACTACAGGAAAATTTGTCACATACAATCTTATTTTTTAGTTGTCATGGATGGTTATAGATGCAATGGAAAATAATCTTACTAACTTGATATTAAAAAGTAGAAGAATTTCATCACCTTTTAATGAGGTATCTAAAAACTGTTTCCGTAACCTAGTATGAAACATGTATTACTTTGATAAATATGCTAATTGTCTGTCTTGTTTGTTTTCCCCATTAAATTAGAGTAAAATGTTAAAATTTTATTTTACTTTTAAAGTACATTTATACAGCTTTTCTAATTCTTTAATTTGAATATAGTTTAACTACAATGACTGTATTTTTAAGTAATTTTCATCTAGTTATAGGTGATTAATCTAAGAATTCAATTGTTAGAACATTCTTGAGAATGTAAATATTGTGTTGGTTAGTAATTTTTTTTTTCCCCCACAGTGGTTTGGTAATCTGGTAACAATGCAGTGGTGGAACGATCTATGGCTAAATGAAGGTTTGGCTACTTTCATGGAGTATTTCTCTTTGGAAAAAATATTCAATGAGCTGTCTGGTGTAAGTACAGTGTTTGTTAGGTCTACTGTGAATGCTGGAGGGAAAAAGTCAAATTACATTTGGCATGTATTTTTATGCATTTGCAATAAAGAAAATGTTTCTAGAAAGAAACAATAAAATTGGCCCCTGTTACTTATATCCGTACCTCTTGAGATTTGACAATGAAAATTATGCTTTTATTTAATGATATAGTTCATTGAAAGCTGAAAGTATGTGAAATTACTTTACACTTTGTTGTTATGAAGAACATTATAAATTCATTTGCTTAATTTTAATAGTTGTGATTCTTCTGCCTGAAGGAATTTAGATATAGTTGAAAAACTTTTTTGCAAAACAGTACTTTTTATCCAATGTATAAAGAAAAACATTAAGATAAGTTGTAGCAATGCTGTCTGTTATCACTCTGATCATGCTTACAACAGTGATATATAAGTTGATACAGACAAATAATTTGCCCTATTTAGATACAAAGCACATTTCATTCTTGTTCAAAGACTTGGAACACCACTCTGTTATAGAGAACATAATAATGTCACTATGTTATTAGACTTTCCGGAGTTATTTCCTATCCTTAGAGATATTTGGACATACTAGGATATACTGGCAAATAATTCAGGCAATAGGTGGGAAGTATAAAGATGCTTTTTAACCCTAAAATTCTGTGACTGTCTATAAAACTTCCTGGATGTATGACCCAAGACTGCTTTAAAACAAGAGTTCTTTTAGAGCTTTCAGTTTGAAATTTTTGTGTAGGACCTGTTCAAATATTTCAGGTGGTATAGAAGGAGATTGTTTTTAGCTAGAAGACTGACCAAGATATTTTAAAAGTCTGTGAATGCTCCTTAATTAAGCAGTGAGATTCACAGTTTCACCACTTGGTGGTGCCCAGAATGTTTAAAAGCTTCTTATATACTATTGAACCTCATCTGCTAAGCTCTCAAAGAATTCTGTTTAAGAGTTACATTTTATTTCAAATGACCCTCCGTTAAAGGAAATGTATATTTTCTTAATAGAAAAAATGGACCGTGTATAATAGATCATCTTAAGAACCAATTTTTATTTTTGTTTTTTAATTTCAGATTTTATTTTTAAAATATACACTAACCTTTTCAGATTATTCATCTTGAATATCAAGATTTGGAATTTGGTTGCTTTAATAATAGAATCTTAATTCATCCTTATGTTGATTAGGAAACAATTTTTCATGTGGCCAGGAGGCTATGATTTTATTTTTAAGTTTAAGAAATATGCATAAATATCACACTCTTCCTATATTTTCAGAAGCATATGTTCTGAAGTTTAGTGGGTATGGTTATTTTTTAATAATGTCCTTAAGCAGTAGTATAATTTATATACATAATTACTCTACTTGCCTTTCCCTTTGATACTGCTCATAATTTCCTAATCTGTTTAATTTTTTACTAGTATGAAGATTTCTTAGATGCTCGATTTAAAACTATGAAGAAAGATTCCTTCAATTCATCTCGTCCAATATCATCATCTGTTCAATCTTCAGAACAGATTGAAGAAATGTTTGATTTTCTTTCCTATTTTAAGGTATTGCTATGCACAATAATACCTGGAATAGGTTTCAAATAATTAAAATGTGAACAAGGTGCATGGTTTAAACTATTTTAAAGATTAAATGAGTATTATTTTTAGGTATCATGTTAAAATTTAAGATGCTTGCTTCTATTTAAACCTTGGTCTTAACTTTCTCTGGATTATTTTTTTTCTGTCTCTCATTTAAGTTCTCTGACTAGTATTCTCAGCAGTTAACTAGATCTTCTAGCAATATATTTTTTAAAGTTGCTTCACTCTTTAGATCTGATGGTAGTGTGTGTCCAGGGAGGATTTTCAGCAAGCCCTTGGCTCTATTATTCAGGATTGAGGTATATTCCAAAGTTAGAATTTCCAGAACAAGTAAGCAAACAGTATTTTCAGAATTGAAGATTAGGAGATTCCAAGGTGACTGTGGAGTAGGTGGAAGCTACGCTCGGCTCCTCCTGGCACCAAACCAGATTTGCAGCTAAATTGTAGAGCAATCAACTTGAATAACCAACGGAAGGAGAGCTGGACAGGAGTATTATGACCATGGATTTACAGAAGAAGCCACACAGAGACTGGTACAAAGGACGGAGATGCGGAGAGGGCCGGCCCCTGCACCCACGTGCAGTGGCTAAGGGGCTGGAGGGTTATCTCAGTCACAAAAGTCCCCCCCTGAGGAATGTGAGGTCTCATCCTCAGGCCCGGCTCCCCAACCTAAAGCATCTCATCTGGGAAGAGGAATTTGCAGACAAAACCCTACCTCCCGTGCCTTCCACATACAACAATATGGCGATTACCAGAGAGGAAAGGGGTGGGGGGAGGGAGGGAGGGAGGACAAAGCGGGGTAAATGGCAGTGGAAAGAGACGTGAATTTGTGTGGTATGTGCACGATGCAGTATGCAGATGATGTGTTATAGAATTGCACACTTGAAAACTATATGGTTTTATTAACCAGTGTCACCCCAATAAATTAAATAATTTAAAAAAAAGAATCAAAGATTAGATTGCAGGATCAGACATGCAGACTCCAGATTTGGAGGTGAAGCCAGGACAGAGAACCGGAAACCTGATCAGGATCATCATGGGTCAGAAGGACACAGTTGTCAGTGCCACTCACATTTGTGTTGGGAAGGAGGGGCGAATGTTCCTTCTCTCCCTCCTTACTCTGGGAATTAGATTAGTTGATTAATAAGTTAATTGAGTTCCTGTGTTAGAGAAGAAAATACACAAAATAAGTGAGATACAGTCCATGTTTTTAATGGGAATGTGTCAGTAGAGAGGAAAAGTAGGTATTGCAGGATAGAAAGGGAAATGCTGGAAAAGAATGAATACTTAAATTCATAGAACGCGTAACACCATAGAGAGCAATAGGTATTAAATTCAGTTCATGTGTATATGGTAATTTTAATGACTTAACATTGATAGATTTTTATCAGAATTAAAATTCATTTAAAATCATTTGAGTGCTTACTGTGTATTAGGCATTGTTTAGTCATTGGAGTTGAATTTTTCAGTTTTCCCCTCAACTAATATACAGCCTAGAAGAAGAAATAAGTATATATCTATAGCAGATGCAGGAAGTGATACGAATTGCTTTCGAAGATAGATAAATATGATTTCTATTTCAAATCAGGAAAGGCTTCACCAAGGAGGCGGTTATTTTTAAGACTGGGAATAATGTGCACCAGTGAATAAAGTGTGACCTTAATAGGCGCATGCCTAATTCTGAGTAGTAGTGAATACTTACTATGTTATGCATTCATTAGCTCCAAACATATTGAAAGTGAGTCTGCAGGAAGAGATCTTGGTTACTTCAGCAACATGACAATACTAAAATTGGAAATTAATGTACTCCCTACCAGAGAGACTTTTGGGAGCTCTTCTAATTTATTGTCCCCAGCAGCGTGCCCATGAATTGAACTGGTGCTTTAAACATTGAGGATAAGAGTGGGGATGCCACAGAAAATTTGTCATGTTTTTCTATTAAAAATATATTTACAGCTCTGGTTGGTGTGGCTCAGTGGATTGAGTGCTGGCCTGTGAACCAAAGGGTTGCCGGTTTGATTCCCAGTCAGGGCACATGCCTGGGTTGTGGGCCAGGCCCCCAGTTGGGGGCACATAAGAGGCAACCCTACATTGATGTTTCTCTCCCTCTCTTTCTCCCTCCCTTCCTCTCGCTCTAAAAATAAACAAAATCTTTAAAAATACATCTATTTACAGTCACTTAGCTTTTTAACATTAACAGTAAAACATCAAGTAACTGATAGACCACACAAAATATCTCACAGTAGAATTAGTACACATGGGAATCTGCTTCATGAATTCTTTTGAAATCCTTTAAAATAATTTTTTAAGACACTTTGAACATAGACCACAGGTGGTTATATGGAATTGAATAAGAGTATATTATAACTAGATTCTATATATGAAAGTATATGGTTAGATTGATTACATTTTGATTTTTAGATTCTCAATTTTATAAATCTATTGTATACTATTATTTCTCTTATTTTTTTTTTGAATAGGGAGCATCTCTCTTGTTGATGCTGAAAACTTTTCTTAATGAAGATGTATTTCAACGTGCTCTTGTTTTTTACCTGCATAATCATAGTTATACATCCATTCAAAGTGATGATCTGTGGGATAGTTTTAATGAGGTAAGTGACCTGAATATTTTACTTAGCTCTTAAAATAAGAAGAAAGGAGTTCTATTTATGTTTTTATCAAGTATGTAAATAAGCTGTGGTACCAAAGATAGTTATTTAAGAAAGACAAGGATGAAGCTTAGGATATAAATATTTATAAATAGAGCACAGAATTTAAAAAATCAAGAAATGGAAGTACTAGTCTTAATTGTTGAAGAATTGTGTGTGGCCTTGTGTAACCATTTTTATTCTTTAATTTCTATTTCTACTTTGTAGAAAAGTTGTCTTTTCCAAATTAGCACACATTACTATATTTTCATTCTTCTCAAAAATCTTTTTTTATTCTTATGACTTTGCAATTTTTCTCCCTCTCATTCATGAATTTTTTTCTGTACTCTGCCCTACAAATCCTCCTGTCTTTCGGAGCCATGTCTCTAGAGTAGACGCTACATCCCCCGCTGGCTGCCCTTGGCGGCCTACTGCCCTTCCTTCGCTCTTTGGATTTTGTTGCATCTGCAAATATTCCAATAAGCAGTGTAATTAGGTACATGTTATGCTTCATAGCAGTGCATGAACCAAACCTGTGTTGTGCATGTATGCTAACTACATATTCTTATAAATATTTGAGGTTGTTTACCCTAATCTGGATAAAGTTCTAGATAAAGTTCTTAATGCTTAGAAGATCACAGACATATTTGAAAATTTGATGGAAGTTCTGGACATATTCCCCAGAAACATCACATAATGTAAAACATCTCACTGTTTCAAAGTCTTATGGACCCTGTTTAAGAACCTTTCTCTGGATGTTTTTCATATACTGTTTCTGCTTCCTTGCCTTATTGGAACCTGATATTTCCTAGCTGTTAACCCTTTGCCCAGAATGTAAATAAGCTGTGGTACCTTCCCTACTCTCTTGAGTTCTCTTTCAGAAGAATTAGCCCTTATTGCCTAAGAGTTGTTTCCAAATCATTGTTTTTCTTGTCATATAGTAGTATTTCAGTGAAAAGCCACACTATTTACTTTATACTTGTCATATTATCTCCTGACATGTAGAATGTATTTCTGCCTTCCTCACTCACTTTAACTTTTGTATCATAGTGTTTTCCTGTCCCAACCTAGTCCCTAACATCATCCTCAGGTTTTTTAGCATCCACATCAAATGATGCATTCTCCTCTTAATTTCAGTTCTGCTTAAAGACCCAAAAGTGCCCTTCTTTGGAGTGAGCTTGTTTTCTTCACAACCCCTGTCCAGAAATAAATAGATCTAAGCCATGAGAAATGTTATATTAATATCACAATGTATTCGGGAAGATTTGCTCCATCCTTTTCTACTTTAAATAAATAGGAGTATGATGATTGAGGTTAGGCCTACCATAGTGAAGTGATACTATCAAACACTTGAAATACTTGATAATTTTAGTTACTTGAAATTCAAATCCATATGTAACCTAGAAAAATAATTTGAATCATAAGTTTAATTCACCTTTTTTAAAGAGATAGTTCTTCAAAAATTGCTTCTTCATCGATACCAGATGTTTCAGGGACAGGGGGCTTTAGAGGATCCATGAACCTCTGTTGCTGGATTTTTGTAGATAAGTTTATGTAATTATCTGGGAAAGAAGGTCTGGACCATCTAAATAGCTTACCACTCCTCTCTAGAGAGACTTAAAGTCAAGGCAGCTGACCTGTTTGTATTTCACTCTTTTGCTACTGCTGCCTGTTTCCTGGCATTTCCATAGTATTCTTTAAAAGAAGAACTTTAACATTATGAAAGCAGAGGGTCTGGAGAAGAGAGAAATCTAGACTCAGCTGATTCACAGGAATAAGTTGCAGTGCTTCTGACTCTGGACTCTCTCTTATTATTCATACCCTCCCTGCTAGTATTGTGACCTGAAAGTGCTTATTCCTCCTTAGGGATGTTAGTGAACACTCAGTTGATAATGTCTGCTGGTTTTTCACCATAGTGCCTCCCTCTCTTTAGTTATCACTTAGTATTCTTCAGGTTACTGACCTAGCAGTTGCTCATTTACCTAGCTTATAAATATAAATTCAACTAAGCATTCCAGCTTCTTTTTTATATTAACATTAAATGTAGCCTTCATAAAATGTGGTAGGGAAAGAAGGAAAGATATATACGGTAATAAACTGTTTACCTTCAAGCAAAAATAAATTTATTCTTTTATTTATAGGTCACAAACAAAACCCTAGATGTAAAGAAAATGATGAAAACCTGGACCCTGCAGAAAGGATTCCCTTTAGTGACTGTTCAAAGGAAAGGAAAGGAACTTCTTGTACAACAAGAACAATTCTTTTCAAATGTGAAGCCTGAAATTCAACCCTCAGATGCAAGGTGCATGCCTGTTTCTCTCCCTGCTGCCTCTTTTGTACCCTCAAGTTAAAGTATTTTTAAATGTTTTATAATCATAGGTTCTTATAAAACCTCTAACAAGATTATCACTTTCTGGAAATACCTTGAAAATTTTCACCCTCCTGCCCACTCCCCCCACCCCCCAAAAAAACAAAAGAAAATAATAAGTTGTATGTAAATGACTGAAATATTGGAAAGCATAATAATCTTTCAATATTTTCTTTTTATAGCCACCTGTGGCATATTCCACTATCCTTTGTCGCCGAGGGGAGAAATCATTCTAAATATCAATTGGTATCATATCTGGACAAGAAATCAGGTTTGACTTAACACTTTTCTGATAAGAAATTGGAAAGAACATATTTTTAAAACATCTGACCAAGCAGCAGAAATGAGCTTACACCTTTCGGTGTATACCCTCTGTGAGCTGGTTTTATGAAATCACCTATACGTGCTGTGATTAAAGTGAGATTGAGTCTATGTATCATGCATAAAATTGGTCTTTCATAGCCATGTGGCATAAGGTATAAAAAGTCTCACTGAAAGTGCCAGCACTCCTGAGAGAAAATAACAAATGCTGTATTTTTGTACCAAGATAAATATTTTATGTTATACAGTAAGAAGTAGAGCAGTTTCTTAAAGTATGCTCTGCTGTCTGCTTTCTAGTGGTGGGCGGGGGCAGTGGCATTTTAACAAGGACCCTAGATAATTCTTATATGTAATAAAGGTTGATTCATGACCTAGGTTTACAGTAAATAATGACTACAAAATGTCATGCAGACGTAGGATGCATTTTTGCTAATGAACAAAATGAGGCAAGAAACTATGATTGCAAGGATGGGGATAGTAAAACTAGCTTATCCACAACGAGTCTATAAAAGCAATTGAAATGTAGTTTCTGACCATCTGTTAAATACCTCTGTGAATACCATACCATTTATCCTCTTAATTTACATCCTGAAAGAACATAAGGCTTCTGGGTTCTGCAGGAACTATTAATGATACTCTACATTTATGGAAAAGGAAACTTTCTTGTTTGAATTTTGATATGGTATTCAATCCTGTAGTTTTGAGAGCACAGTGTAGCTTAGTGGTTAAGAGAATGAACTTTGGGGCCAGATCGCCTGGTTCAGTTGTAAGATTTTAGGTGAGTTATGTGACCTCTCTGAGCCTCATTCCCTCAGCTCTGGAATGGAGATAGTAGCTATAGTTACTTTATAGTGTCATGATGAGCACTGAGTTCATTTCTATAAAACATATAGAACAACACCTGGCATGTGTTGTGTCCTAGATAAATATTTAACCCTATATAAGGGTTAGCTACTGTTATTGATGTCATTATTGAAAAAAATACTTTAAATATCATATATCCACTTTACAGAGAATCTAGAAAACAAGAGCAAATCTTATCACCCTATCATAACCACTCTCATGATTATTTCTTTCTGGCCATTTCAAAGTATTTTTTCCTTAGACAATGTCATTGTGTACATGTGATTTTTGTATCTTTTTTAAAATCACATATGTAGTAATTGACTTAATATTTCCTTATTATTGAACACTTGATTCACCATTTGTCTCTATGGGACAAAAAAAGCCTTAATAAAAATTCAGGCTCTTAAATTTTTTTTTGTTTTGTTATTTTTTCATAAGAATGCTTCTCAAAATGAAGACTGTTACCTTTTGTGATTTAATATATATTTCTAAGTTGTCCTTCTGTTGTGTGATAACAATTTATAATGCCATTTGAAATATATGAGCATACCAGTTGTATTGCAGTTTAAACTAGAATGCAGTGTTACAAGAACAATCTCATCATTTAAAAACCCTGATGCTGGGTTAACCTAGCATAGCTAGAAATGCAGCCTTCTTTAATGAAAACAAAACTGCATACTTTACATGGGCCCTGGAAGGATAGTATCTGACCTAAGAGAAAATAAATAATGTCATCTCCCTGCTTGAAAGGAACCAATGAGGATATTTTGCAAACCTCCTGATAGTTTATAAGTTTTTGGTGGTATTAGAAGTAATTGGATAATAAGCCCCAGCTGGTGTGGCTCAGCGGCTTGAGTGCCAGCCTGTGAACCAGTGTCACCAGTTTGATTCCCAGTCAGAGCACATGCCTGGGTTGTGGGGGGTGCACGAGAGGCAACCACACACTGATGTTTCTCCCTCTCTTTCTCCCTTCCTTCCCCTCTCTCTAGACATAAAAAATAAAATAAAATATAAAATCTTTAAAAAAAAGTATTATGCTAGAAGTAATTAGATAATAAGATACCTGCTTTTATTAGTCCTTTACTTTTTAGCTCAGTTTACATGTGAGCTTTTTAAACTCCTTCAGATTCACAGCCCAATGCCTTGCTCCTATTTTCCTAGTAAAACCTTTTCTTTTTAAGCCCTTACCCTAGTACCCTGTGTTTCCACTGCTCAAAAATTGAGCAACTCAAACATGGCTTTCCTCCTCCTGTCTCTGGCTGGCTTTTGCTTATGCTGTTTTCTTTCCTGGGAGAACACTGTTGCGCCCCTCCCCACACTCCCTTGATTTATTCCTACTCATTCTTCAGATCTCACATCACCCATTGCTTGCTCCAGGGAGCCTTCCCTCACCCCATGGCACGTTAGATACCCTACTTGTGTGCTTTAATAACATTCTCTGCTTCTCTACTTGTAGTATACTTTAAGTACTGTTTCACATAGATTAAGCCCCACATTAGATGTGTCCCCTATTGAAGACAGACATTACAGCTATATGAATCACTTTTGCAACCTTAGCACCACGTAGGCACAAGAACAGTTATTGAATAAATAAATTTATCTATAATGAAGTGACTCAATTTCAAATTTCATTGTAAAAAGTTCCAAGAAAAGAGCATTCAAAGCCTGATGAAATGACATCTTCTGTTTCCTTTCATTTCAGAATATTCGTAGTTAAGGAGAATATACACAATGCACTATAATATAATGGGTTTAATTCCGAGCTGGAACTGAGCCACTCTATGATGAAAGTGGTGACTGTTAGTTCCTCTCCTCAGCTGTGTTACCTCCCTGGCTGCTGCCGCCCTTTTCACTGCTGGCAGTCCGGGTTTTGAGAATCCGCGCTGAAAATGTTTTGTCCTCACAAACAGTGATGGGCCCTAGGGTCCACTGGCTCTTCTTGGTTCCTGGCGCTCCAGTGAGAATCACTCTTACTTTAATTTTTTCTCTTCTCAAAAGAAATGCAGCAGAGGCGGTGGCTACAGATGCTTATTTTATGTCATATGACTTTAGTACAAGGTGTTATCTTGGTAGTTTGTTTAATTATAGTATATTTCCATGTGTTCTAGGGTTGCTGGGTTAGTCCATTAGTTCAATCCAATATAGGAGTTACATTTGGTTAATATCTTTGTCACTTTTCCCCACATACATGAATTTTGAACAAGTAATAGTTGTTGTGCAGAGGAAGGGCTGAAAGGGGCCATTTTTTTCAAGCTACATGTTGAGGAAGTTACACTTACAAAAGCATCTCCCTCTCCCTTTTCTTCCTTTCTCGCTCCTCAGTCTCTGTGTCAATCCACATTGTACTCAGACCTAAGCTCTTTAATTATAGAAATTTTTTATATTGACTCTAAAGTGAAACATTCGTGTTTCTGGAAGAATATGACTGTGCCAGAAATATTTCCCTGAAACTGAAAGACATGTCATTGGAGTGAAAGGCAACTGGAAGAAAGAAGGAGGAAGATTGTAGTATTAAGATATTTATCATGTGCCATTCTCTGCTCTTGCCTTTTTACCCCCTAATAACATAAAGGGGGAAGAGCGGGGTATTGCAGAAAGGAATGCTTTTGAACAGCAGTGGGTGCAGTTCAACTGTATGCCTCATGCTAGTCCTCTGAAGCAAACTATCCAGGAAATTTTTAACTTTGTAGTAAAAACATGATTCTTGTTTCTCTGCTTTAATGTTTCTTTATAAAACAGTAGTTGATTTTCATAACTCACTGACAAATGGCTTTATAAAATCAATATTAGATTACTTCATCTGGGCTTCTGCCATTTAAGATTGGAGTTACTCTTTTTTACTACTCAATGGATTGTGAAAATTGAACTGTTAATCTGTTAATGATTATGATAAATTAAAAACATATGAGGGCAGCCTCATCCACATTTGAGCTGCAAGGATGTAGTGACCTCCCTTGTGAGCAGAGTCATTATTTTTTGATACCTGTGGTTTTAAGGATCTCTCTTCTGGATCGTTCAGAAGACCTGAAAGAGACCAATATGTTGACTCTTTAAACGATAACTCTCCTCTCCATGCTGTTGGCTGTACTGCTTTATATTTCTGTCATCGAGATGACAGTAATAATTTCAAGTACATTCCCAGCTGCATTTCTCCTTTCTACCATCTGGACTTGGCTAGGTTCACGACACGGCAAGTTGCTTGCTTATCAGCCAAGATATGCTGTATTTCAATATTTTCTTGCATCCATCCAGTTGGGAAATGGCCATACTTATTATTGCTTGCCTTCTTTTATGGGAAAGGGAGATTTGGAGCTTTTCAGTCCTTCCCAAGGTCCTCTCTTGGGAAAATATCTGTAGGGAATTGTGTTTGGTGACTTGGAGAGGGTTGATCTTTTTGCATTAGCTAATGATAAAGTTAATATTTCATTAGTCATTGGTTCGTTAAAAAGGTCTCCAACTTAAGAAGAAAAATAAAGTACCTAGGAATAAATTTAACCAAAGAGGTGAAAGACCTGTATGCAGAAAACTATACAACATCGAAGAAAGAAATTAAGGAAGACACAAATAAATGGAAGCATATACCATGCTCATGGATTGGAAGAATTAATATCATCAAAATGTCCATACTACCCAAAGCAATTTATAGATTCAACGCAATCTCTATTAAGATACCAATGACATACTTCACAGAAATAGAACAGACATTTCAAAAATTTATATGGAACCATAAACGACTCCGAATAGCCGCAGCAATTTTGAGAAAGAAAAACAAAGTAGGAGGGATCACAATACCGGACATTAAACTATACTACAAAGCCACTATACGCAAAACAATGTGGTACTGGCGCAAGAACAGACCCATAGACCAGTGGAACAGAATAGAAAGCCCAGAAATAAGCCCAGGTCTTTATGGGCAACTAATATTTGACAAAGGGGGCAGAAGCATAAAATGGAGCAATAATAGCCTCTTCAACAAATGGTGCTGGGAGAGCTGGACGGCTACATGCAAAAAATTGAAATCGGATAATCAGCTGACACCATACACAAAAATAAACTCAAGATGGATAAAAGACTTAAATATAAGTCGCAACACCATCAAAGTCCTAGAGGAGAACATTGGCAGGAAACTCTCAGATATCCCACACGGCAATTTTTTCACCAATATGTCTCCTAAAGCGAGGGACATAAAGGAAAGAATAAACAGGTGGGACCTCATCAAAATAAGAAGCTTCTGCACGGCTAAAGAAAACATCAGCAAAATGAAAAGGGAGCCAACCCTTTGGGAAAATATATTCGCTAATGATACATCAGATAGAGGCTTGATCTCCAAGATATAAAAAGAACTCACTCGACTCCAAGATGACCAATGATCCAATCAAAAAATGGGCAAAGGATCTGGGCAGATGCTTTTCCAAGGAGAAGACACAGAGGGCCCAGAGACATTTGAAAGGATGCTCAGCATCACTAGCCATCAGAGAAATGCAAATCAAAACCACCATGAGGTACCACCTCACACCGGTCAGAATGGCCATCATAAACAGATCACCAAACAACAGGTGCTGGCGAGGCTGTGGAGAAAAGGGAACACTAGTACCCTGTTGGTGGGAATGCAGACTGGTGCAGCCACTGTGGAAAGCAGTGTGGAATTTCCTCAAAAAGCTGAAAATGGAACTGCCTTTTGATCCAGTGATTCCCCTGCTAGGACTATACCCTAAGAATACCAAAACGCCAATACGAGAGAACCTATGCACCCCAATGCTCATAGCAGCACAATTTACAATAGCCAAGTGTTGGAAGCAACCTAAATGCCCATCAGTAGATGATTGGATCAAAAAATTATGGTACATTTACACAATGGAATACTATGCAGCAGAAAGAAAAAAAGAACTACTAAACTTCGCGACAGCATGGATGGAACTGGAGAGCATTATGCTAAGCGAAATAAGCCAGGGGGCGAAAGGCAAATACTATATGATCTCACCTATAAGTGGAACCTAACCAACAATACAAAGATGCAAGGAAAATAAGACCCGCAACACTGAAAGGAAAAGAAACCAACAGAGACAGGAGGGAAGGAGGGGGGGCAGGGGAAAAGGAAGGGAAGGGGAAAGTCAAGGAACATATAGCAAGGACTCATGGACAAAACCAAAGGGGAAGAGTTGAGGGAGGGAGGGAGGGGGCAAGGGAAAGTGGTGGGGGGTAGGCAGAGACAAATGTATTTGAAAAAATAAATTAATTAATTAAACAAACAAAAAAGGGTCTCCACCTTAGAGCAGATACTGTTGCCATCGCAATTATTCCTTAGAACTACATTCTGCTCTGGAAAAAGGAATAGACCACATTAATTTTACTGATTTTCCCCCCCACCTATTGCTATATCAGCAATAAAACAAATAGTAGGGAATATTTATTTTTATTTTTTAAATGTAATCTTTATTGTATTTTTTCCATTACCATTTAGTCCCCTATACCCCTTCCCCCCAGCAGTCACCACCTTGTGGTCCATGTCCATGAGTCCTTTTTCCTTTTTGTTTGATCCTCCCCACTAGATGTCATTCTGCTTTCCACCTGAGTCTCTCTCCATTTTCCTTTAGTATAGAATTTTTAAATGAAAAAGAATCTTATATGCCGTGTTAAGACACGATCAGACTGTCTTTTCCGTTTAAATATCTTTTGCAGTTTCAGTAAAATTAAAGTAAATAAGGCATTAAAGAATCTGGTAAATTTTAATAATTCATGCTTTTGAAGTTGATAGACCCTAAGACTTCAGATACTCAAGGGTTTAAATGTGTTTCTAAAGTATATGTGCAAAATCTTTCATATAGAATTATTATGATAGTAAAAATTTTAAAACATTCTAAATGTTTCCAAATAGGAGATTGGTTAAACCGTGGTTGGTCTTGACATAGAATATTATGAAGATACATGAACACTGCATGTGAAGACAATGAAAAATGGCAAGGGGTGGCGTCCGATAGGTGAAAAAGCAATATAAAAATACATGCTTATATGTAGATCTGTTGTACGGAATATTACATCAATTACCAGTAAATTGTGTATAAGAAGAATCTTGGCAGGAAATATACCCCACAGTGCTATTAGTCTCTGAGTTTAGATTATTTTTCTTATCTCTCTATTCCTCTTTCTTTATAATTTTTAAAACTAGTATTCTTTATTTTAAAGCGGGGAAGAAAACTTACATCACATACATTTACAAACCTTATTTAGATACTTTGAAACCATTTACCATGACATGATTATTTTGTTTATTCATCCATTAATTATCCAAGTGTTTTTTGGGTACTAGGAACATTGTTCCAGGCACTGGGAGAGTAGCAGTGAAAAAAATAGTTCATGAAGCAGATGTTCTAATATTAGTAAATCTTAAGATGCTTAGGAGCATACCCTTAACTGTTATATTAAATTCATGTCCTTGTTGCCAAATTTAAAGGACATTTCTTGATGAGTAATTTTAAGGATTTAAAACTTACTACATATATTTTGCAGTCAGCTTTTGTAGTAATATGTCCTTGTAGTCATATTTTGTACCTCCTTATTAAGTTAAAATTAATTGAAATTATTCCATATAAATTTCTAACAATTCTCTCAGCATTTATATATGTAATGGTAGGGGGCCCAAAAGTACATAACACTTTTCTTTTAACTCAATTATTTTTTATTTGCACCCAATGAGACATTAACCCTTCCCTAATGCTTAGTTTGCTAGCTTTGAATTATGTAACTTTTCTAAATGGCTTTATTTGTTTTTCCTTTGCTAACATAGAGACACAGGCTGAGATGGAACACACTTTATGTAGTTCTCTCACCTGATCTTCCGTGCCAACCACCCCTGTACACGTTGTCCCTTTGTCCCCGCTTCTCTTCCCTAGCCGCAATGAACTTGGGAGCCATTTCAGTGCATGGGCACTATGTATACTCTTTCTGGATCTTGAATACTCTTTACCTAGCTAACATATTTTGGGGTCTCAGCTTAGCTGTCATTTCTTCCAGGAAACCTCTCCTAACTTTCCCTAGAAGATGAAGCATTTCTTCTGCGTACTTCTTTAGAGTACCAGCAGTAACATTTATAGGAATTCTACCTGCCTGTTTACGTAGCCTGTAAGATCTGTGAGAGAAGGGACATAAGTACCTTGTTTTACCATTAAACAAATAATTGTTAAATGAATGAGGAGTAATCTTTGTTAATGTGAAAATAACTGCACGGAAGGCAGAGATTTAGTTTCTTAGTAGAATAATAAAATATATATAAAAATACACCAAATTAACTTTGAAACAAAGCATCTGTTTAATATTTTTTTTCTTGCCCTATTATCCTCCTCTCCTCTCTCTCTCTCCCTCCCTCTCTCTCTCTCTCTTTCTCTCATTTTTTGGTTTGTATTAGATGTCATCAATCTTACAGAAGAAGTGCAGTGGATCAAAGTCAATACAAACATGACTGGCTATTATATTGTACATTATGCAGATGATGACTGGGATGCACTAATCAAACAGCTGAAAATAAATCCTTATGTCCTGAGTGACAAAGACCGGGCAAACCTCATCAACAACATCTTTGAACTTGCAGGGTACAGTATGCTTAGTTTTGTTTTGTTCATTTGTTTTTTAACAAGTGATACTGAGGAAAAGAACAGTTTAGAAAAACAGTTCAAAAGAACTAGCATGTATTGCCTGTAAAGTATAATTTGTTTTGAACTGGAAAATGTAAGACGTAGTCCGTGCCTTCAGGGAGTTTGTAACCTATATTGAAACGTTAGCTACAAATATTGAGCAAGTAAATAACAAGATTTAAATGATATCTCAAGTATGTAGAGGCCAACAAGCAGGACCCATATTTGCTGATTACATTGATGTAGTGCTGGTTTTGTTTTATTTCTTGAGAGAATCCTTTTCAAGCAGCACTTGGTTTAAGTAGGATACTTAGTGCTTACTCACTGGTTTCAGGAATATCTGTGATATCTAGAGCCTCCTTATTTGTTTACCACTTGCCTGCCCACCCCACGTGTTACAGAATCCTGAAGCCAAGAATAGCAGTGACCTTGTGTGTATAGATAGCTTACCAATTTAGTTGTTAATGGGTATAAAGACACAAGGAATATTCAAAAGTGTTCCTTCTGACTATTCTTGACCATCCTATCTTGGTTCATTTTTTTAATGAAATGACCTTATGTCATCTCAGCCATCATTGTTATAATTTCTATAAAATGGTTATTTGTAAAATGTACTCACCATAAATTCACAGTAGACCTCACTTTAACAAGTCTGACAAGCAGATTCCCATATAAACAAATACATTTTCTTTCTGATTCAAATTCTCTTTATGTCACCTGTTCTCACCTGGTAAATATAAGTAATTTAAAAGATAAATAAAATTAGTACTTTTCATCTTTTATTACCTAAGATATTGTAATACTTTACCTGAGTCAGTAGCAATTCACAGGTGACATAGAATAAAAACGGAGCTATTATTTATCTTTTTCCTGAAATGTATCTTTAACCTTAGGTCACACATATGAATTTAATTAAAGGTAATAATATTTAGTCTAACTTTATGGAATGACACTCTAAGCTTAAATTTTAGGTCTTCAAGACTCACCATCCAGCCCTACAATTTCTCTCTCAGCAGATGTAATGTTCATCTGCCTTTCTCAGCATATTTACTGTTTCTGTTCTTTTATCCTTCAGCATAGGCAAAGTGCCTCTTCAGAGGGCCTTTGATTTGATTGGGTATCTTGGAAATGAGACCTGTACTGCGCCCATCACTGGAGCCCTGTTCCAGACAGGCCTCATCTCTGACCTCCTTGAAAAACTGGGATATATGGATCTGGCCTCCAGAGTGGTGGTAAGTCTGCCGCTTTGCCAGCTCCTCTTTGTTGCTTGCCTTTAATATGGTTATTCATAATTCCATTCAGCAGTAATAGGCCGAAAGAGCAACTAGTTAAACTCCATTTTCTTTACTTTTCTAGAAATCTTTACTTTGAATCAAAATGTTATTGCTTACCATGGAGAGCTGGTAAAGGCTTAGCATGATGTGGCCTCATTTGAATATCAAAATATAGACTTCTGATTCTGCTATCACATGAAAAGATAATTTTTATATTTAAATACTGCTTTATGTTTATGTAATGCATACTTTAAAGGGGCCCTTTTGCAGAGTAGTTCTCCCCATTAATATCCTGTGGTCAGTATAAAATGACAGTTATATTTGTATTGAGAATATTGTTTAGGAGTCCTTACAGATAACCTGTCTTATGGATGCCAACGCCGGTGGATATGCTTTTCTGCAAGGCAGTAAGGGAGGTTTTGTATTGGAGATTGTTTCATCTTTTTTAAAGGCAGTTGCCAAATCTTAACTGTTAGCAACAGGTTTTCGACACTTTTAATGTTAAACCATTGACTGACTCATTACAAGCGCTGGAGGCAGTGATGAATCCTTTGCTTTATCTAATTCTCTAAATCAGCCCATTCTGACAACATGGTTCACGTTGTAAAATAGTCAGATTTTCCAGGGACCAAGCAAGAGACAGCTTTCAGGAAAAGGAAGACATACTAGACCAGGAATTAGAGTAAGCCTTTTAGGGTTTTGGTGTCCTCACCAGTAAAAGGAAGGGGTTGGATTAGGTGTTTTTTGTTTTTTAACAGCCTTCTTTCTGCCACTCTTCTACTCTGCGTCCCGTGTGATGAGGTCTTACCACTTGGGTGATTCTCGGTGAGAGAAGGGGCTGCAGGGCAGGAGGGCCATGTGGTGCTTGACAAACGTCCTTCCTCGCAAGTTTCTGATCTGAGCCCAAAGGAACCACCCCATCCTGACGCATGAGTGGAGATGCTTAAGTCCGATTAAGTCAGATTAATTTAAATTAAGTTAGATTAAGTCAGTGCTTATTATATTCTCTACACCATCCTTAGTGCTTAATGATGATTACGCCTTTTAACCCTCACACAATGCCAGATAGATACTCCTGCCCTCATTAGATATATGAGGAGACTGAATAACTTCCCCAAGTCACTTACCTAGCCAGTTGTAAGCTGAGATTCAAACCTATGTTAGTTTCTCTTCAAAGCCTATTCCTTATGTTATGTTGCTATATTTTAAAATGTTGCTAATTTGTATTCTAACAATGTCATCTTTCCAATGATACCTTTCCTTTGGGAAAATCAGAGGTTTTTCTTTCTTGCTATTATTGTTTTCTTTTTTAAACTGAGATTTTTAAAAATTAAAACAGTTTGAAAAGCTTGTAAACCATGTGTTTAAGGTTTAAATTCACAGACCCACCTCTAGTTACTTCCTTGGAAATGAAGTTGTCAACTTACTACATGAGATTTCTTTTATATTCAGAATTAGTAAAAGTATTTTTTTAGTATTGGTGTACATTTCCAAGAAGTATGCAACTAACCTATTAATCTCTTAGGGCAAACTTAAAATCCAACACAGACTTTCTACTGCTAGTGTATTAAAGAAACTGGCCATTTATTGGTTAGTTCAGCTACTGTAGATGGACATTTGGGTTATTTGGAGTTTGGAGCTATGACAAATAGTGTTACTGTGAATATTCTTATATATGTCTTTGGTGAGTTTCTGTGGGATATGTGTCTGGGAATGGAATTGCTGAGTCATAACATGTGCGTGATTAATTCATTTTTCAAAGTTCTACCAATTTAACACTCCATCAGCAGTGTTTGAGAATTCAAATTCTTTTCTGGATCTGTACTTTGCCAATACTTAGTATTAATAGCAAACTTTTTTTCTTTTAGTTTTTTCAATGGGTGCATCATAGTACTGCAATTTTTACTTTAATTTGCACTTCCCTAAAGTGAAGATGAATTCCTTTTGATGTGTTTATTGATCATTGAATGTTCTCTTTTGTGCCTTTTTCAGTGTCAGCCTTTTTCTTGTTGATTTGTAAGAGTCCCTTCTATATTCTATTTATGAGTCCTTTGTTGATCATGTATATTTACAGATATCTTCTACTCCAGCATGCTTTTTCACTCTTTTAATCATTTTTAAATTAGCATAAATTCTTAATTTTAAGGTAAGAAATCTGTTTATCCCAAGATATTCTCCTATGTTTGTCTTTGAAAACTTTATTATTTTATCTTTTATATTTAGATTTATGATCCATCTGGAATTGATTTTTGTATATGGTGTGAGGTAGACATGAATATTAATTTATTTTCAATATGGGTAGCTAAATGATCCAGCACCAATATACATCATTGTATACATACTTGTTTACTTTGGGGGCTATTAGTGTCATATCAAATCAACACAACTTGGGGTAGCATATTATTTTCCTAGGACTGCTGTAATAAATTATTACAGACTTGTTGTCTTAAAACAACAGAACTTTATTCTCGGACAGTTCTGGAAGCCTTAAATTAAGGTATTGTCAGGGTAGAGTTGGTTTCTCCTGAGGGAGAGTCTGTTCCAAGTGTCCCAGCTTCAGGGGGTTGCCAGCAATCTTTGGCATTCCTCGGTTTGTAGTTGCATTACTGCAGTCCCTGCCTCCGTCTTCAGGTGACATTCTTCCTGTGTTCCTTTGTCTGAATTTCCTCTTCTTATAACGGCACCAGCCATTGGATTTGGGCCCACCATAATCCAGGGTGACCTCATCCTAACTTGTTTACATCTACAAAAATGCTATTCCCAAATAAAGTCACATTCAAATCCTATTCCCAAATAAGGTCGCATTCAAATAAAGTTCCAGTCAGACATGAATTTTGGGGGGAATACTATTCAACCCAGTATAGGTAGCAATGTTGGTATATATCACTCACTTCAGTATTAAGGAACGGTGTTGGTCCTGAATATGCCCTGAGAGGAGGCAGAACATCTCTGTCTACTCTAAAGCTTCCCAGCCAGTTAACTTTTGTGATGGCAGAAGCCACTCTGTCCCCTCCTCTCTCCATTAACTATGTTGAGGCCCAGTGTCAGGAAGCCGTTGATAACTTACCTCAAGCTATCCCTGTGCCAAAAATATAGATGCAAAACACAATTCGAGGAGTTAAGCCATTTGAATATTTTCCTAATATGGCTCTCAAGTAACTCTGAGTCTTCATTCCAGATGATGATTTCCAGTTTTCTGGGCAGGGATGTGTTTACTAAGAACGAACTTCGGGGTGAGGTCCAGGGGACTGGGGGTTAGATGGCAAGGACAGGATACTTAGTATGCAATGGCAGAACGCTGGCCCTTTTACTGCTGGAGAGCCTCATGCCCTTGCTTGTTAGTTAAAAGTCAGCCTAGCTTCAGCTCACCCAGAGTGAGAACTCGTCTCTTTAAAATTCTAATTTTAGGGCATTTTGGTAGCATCAAAACTCTGAAAATATGAAGTCTGACCTACTATAGTTGGAGACTGGAATGGCAGGCATTTCTGAGTCCTTGGGTCCAGTTTTCAAATAGTATTTGTGATAAAGACTGGTGTCTAATTCTTTATTAGACACCAGAGCAGTGTATACGTTTATTAGTCATTTTGCTGTGTAGGCTGCACACACCTACGTGACACACCTCTATGTGTTGCGTTTTGGTGCTGTGGTGTTGTGGTGGGCAGGTTCTGGAGGCACGTTGGAGTTGCGTCATATTGTTCACATAAGATGTTAACATCTGATCCCAGTCATATTCCTGTCTCATGACTTACAAGTCTGTCATTCTTTTACATATGAGGGGTTGGTGGGATAAGCTTTTTGCAATAAAAGCTGACACTTCACGTTTAAGAAGTTCAGTTGACCCAAGAAAGAATTCCCTGGGCATATCACTGCAAAATTAAAGCAGTAAATCAAGATGTAATACATACCATAAGTGCCAACATCTTTCCCTGCTTTGTTTTTTAAATCATTTTGTTTGTTGTTGCATTTTATTGCATATCCAAAGTTTGTTGCTTGTATGACCCTGTTTGAGTGGCACAGTAGGAAAAGATTCAAAAGGTTTAACTCCTTGAATTGTGTTTAGCACCTGTACTTCCTCTCCTCTCTTGCCGTTTTTACTTTATGAAATCAGAGGATGATATTCTATTGTTTAATGAGTTTAAATTTCAAAAATTAATTTAGAGCCATGATAAAATAGGTTTAATTTGTAAAAGACAAAGGTGATTTGAAGCCCTTGCTATGGTCTAGTAATACTAAAAATGTAACCTGGATTACTTATAAAATGACATTTTATACCTGCAGGCATTTTCTAAAGAATTACTGTATTATGCTATCATTAGAAATATATTTAAAATCGACTATTTTGGGAATTCCCCTTGATTATTTGGTGTGCAGGGAATTAGTAAAATTTCAGCCTGTAATTCCAATGGAGTAAGTGCTCAGGAACTAGTCTTAGCATCTTCAAATGTCAGCTTCCTCTTGCCTCTAGTACGTTGAATGGCCATCTCTTTTTCTTTTTCTTTTTTTTTTTTTTTGGTACTGGCTTCTTTGTGTTTCAGTTAACTCTAAAGGAGCATTGCCATGGCCGTTTGTCTCCACTGAACTTTTTAAAATAGTATTTCAAGCATGTGACTTTTCCCCTTTCATTCCTTCTTTGTTTGTTTAACAGTTATGAGTAGCATTTAAATTTCTTTTATGCTTCACTCATTTTGGATGGTTTGCTATCATGACGCCATTGAGGAGGTCAGGCCAGTGAAGACAGCATGTACCAAAGCAGTCATGTGCATCCGATAGGATCTCCTGCATTGCTTTTATGTTCCTTGCATTATCAATCAGCATGGCAACTATTTTTCCACTTCACATCCTCCCAATCACTTCTAAGCTTACTCACACATTCCACAAGGTGTCTGTTCTCTATTTTATTGCTTTGAAGCAAACAAACAAACGTGAGTTGACATGTCATCACAAACTTTGAATCCTCCTTGCACAGATTCTTTTTTCCGTTCTCATAGTCAGATGCATAAGAGATTTATTCGGAGAAGGTCTTCCGAGAAAATGGCTTCGCAGTTTAAAAGTCACTGAGCAGGATTCATTTTAGGTCCTGACAGCAAGAATATAATGCTCTGTGAAGAACTTGAACTAATTGTCTGGGGTTGGGAGGTTTTGGATGTGGTCATCTGTGGCACCTGACCGCTTGAGATGAGACGGGAGAAGGGTGCCGCTGTGGAGGAGGTGCTGGTAGGAAGAAATGCCCCTGCGCCTGGAGCGCGGCGGGCGGGCGTGCCTGGGGACTTTTTTCATCTTGATTCTCCTTACTTATAGCCACGAAGATTTTCTAAAACATACCTATAAGCATTTTTATTTAAAAAATGTTCTCTTAGTCGCATTCACAAATGCATATTTTATGTGGTGATTTTTTTGAAATCCCACGTGTCCTCACCCCTCCCCATGCACCACAGCTGGCAACATGGATATACTTCCATATACTAGTAACAGCTTTTACCCTTTTGTTGTGGGGACAGATGAAAAAGAAATAAGATATTTGTTGATTTCTTTATACCGTAAGTATACATTTGGGATAACATCTTATTCAGAACTATAACAATGGACTAAAGAGTGGATATTACTGAATATCTATTAGTTTCTTTAAGTGTGATAAGGTATTGTGGTTATATAGGAGAATGCCCTTATTTCTGGGAGTTGTATGTTAAAGTACTTATAATTGAAATATCATGATATCTGTAACTTACTTTCATATGGTTCTGCTATAACCATAAAAAATATATCTGTGTTATACACACAGAGAAACAAAGCAAATGGAAGAGTATTAAAAAAGAGTGAATCTACCATATGGGAGTATATTGTACTATTCTTGTAGCTTTTCTGTAGGTTCAGAATTTTTTTAATAACAAGTTGGGGGAGAAAAGAATAACTATAAACAACTATAATTGCCTGCAGTCTTCATTTCCTCACTAATTAGATTAATTTGTTACAGCATCAAACTAGTTGGTATTTTAAATATTTCTTAAATATTGGATTCAGGAACATTTAAACATCTCCTCATAAGTAAAGAATTTTATTTTTCGCTCACTGCTTTGTGGATTTATGGATTCTAAAGTCAGGAGGTCAGGAAGTTCCAACTTCCTTCTAGGAGCGATACTTTGGCACAGAAAAACAACTTCTAGCTGAGTACACACAAAAGAAAGGTTCCCTGCTGCACAGAAGTCATCAATTCTTTCTGTTTTATGTCGTTAAAAGTCTCTCTTGGCTATAGCAGCCTTTTGTATAACCTTTGTTTTTGAATGGTTCATCTCAGCTGTGTGTAGGCAGTTTTTATTTAATGAGTAATATCTTGTCGCCCCTCCCTTTTTTCTCCTTTGATAAACGCTGGGAAAGAGACTTAGTTGTCCTGATTTTTCTGGTTGCTCTAATTATTATTATTTCATTATAACCCATTTTATCTCTTTAGACCAGGGTATTTAAATTGCTTCAAAGCCAAATTCAAAAACAAACTTGGACTGATGAGGGCACCCCATCTGTTCGAGAGCTGCGGTCAGCCTTGCTAGACTTTGCCTGCACCCACAGCCTGGCGAACTGCAGCACCACTGCCATGAAGCTATTTGAGGACTGGATGACATCCAATGGAACGAAAAGGTGATGTGTGCTTCTACTCAGATAACTCTCTTCTTTTTCTTTACTTAACGTCACATGCTAAAACCAGGATCTTCTCATCCTGGGTCATAAATGTTATAAAACTGAGTGTTAATATATGTGAACTCTATGTGCTTACATTCTCAAGTAAGACTTTTATTTTATTTTATTTTATTTTTTATTGTTCAAATAAGACTTTTTTAAAAATTGTGGTAAAATACATATAACATAAAATTTATTATCCTAACAATTTTTAACTGTATAGTTCAATAGTATAAGTATAATATTCACATTGTTCAACAAATCTCCAGAACTTTATCCTGCAAAACTGAAATTTTCTACCGGACCGACTCCCTACCATCCTCTCTCCCCATCCCCTGGAAACCACCATATTATTTTCTATTTTATGAATTTTTACTACCCTAAGTACCTTATATATGTGAAATCATACAGTATGTATGTTTCTGTGACTAGTTTATTTCACTTAACAAAATATTGTCAAGCTTCATGTGTGTTGTAATATGTGTCAGAGTTTTCTTCCTTTTTAAGGCTGAACAGTTAATCCATTGTATGTAGTTTAGACTATATTTTGCATATTCATTCGTGCACTGATAGACATTTCGGTTGCTTCCACCTTTTGGCTCTTACCAATAATGCTGCTATGAACATGGGTGTACAAATACCTTTTGAAACCCTTCTTTCAGTTATTTCAGATATATACCTAGAAGTAGGAAGTGCTGGATCATATGGTAGTTCTATTTTTAATTTTTCAAGGAACTGCCACACTATTTCCCATAGCGGTTGCACCATTTTACATTCCCACCAACAGCGCACAAGGATTCCTGCCATTTTCTCCATGTCTTCACCAACACCTGTTATTTTGTGGGTTTTTTAAAAATATCAACCATCCTAATGGGTGTGAGGTGTCAAAAAGTCTCTTTTAATTTAGGAATAAAACATAGCAAGTGGAGTTGGTGATTAGTAGAACTATTTTGATGATGATTGGTCCTCTCCTTGGTTCCCTGTGGGTTGTTATGGAAAAAGATTCAAGCATCAGATAAAGGGATCATAAATAATCATGGCAGAAAACTGTGCTGCTTCTTTCCTCTCATCCGTCTCTTCGTATTCCTACTATGGAACTTACCACACTGTATTATAATGTATATATTTACTGTTCTGTGCTTTGTGATAGCCTGTGAGTTCCTAGAGTCAGAGACTGTGTCTCTTTCTTCCCCTCTCTAGCATCCAGCCAGTTGCCTGCCTGGTTCTTTGTGGATGCTCAGTGAATAATTATTGTATTAAATTGAACTGATATTTCTCATAGTCCCACCAACTGGGAAAGCAGCAGCCACTAAATTAATCATTTTCTTCACTATTAGTTGTACAGTAACGACTCTTCTATGGCTCTGATCCCAAAAACATCACCACTAGTCATTTCCTCACCTTCATATTCAGGAGTTTTTCTTGTTCTCATATTTGACCACCTCTCTTCTAGCCTGCCTACTGATGTCATGACTGCTGTGTTCAAAGCTGGAGCAAAAACTGACAGAGGCTGGTCGTTCCTCTTAAGCAAGTACACATCGATAGGCTCTGAAGCAGAGAAGAATAAAATACTTGAAGCTCTTGCCAGCTCAGAGGATGTACGGAGACTTCACTGGTATGAAACCACCCAAGGAATATGATATAATGAAACCAAAAGCATAAAAGCATTGTGCTCCAAGGGTGGGGAGCCCAGTTTGCTCTGGGATCTTCCTTTGCGCCATCTACTCATAGGCCACCTTTATGTGAATTTGTGAGACATTCCCTTTTGAATATTCAGTTGATGAAGCCCCGGAAATGGGAGTTCCCCATGGGGAGAGAAGGGCAGTGAGCGGGGCCACCTGACTGGAAGGGCGGTCAGTGGCAGGGTGGAGGGGCTCCAGGAGCCGAGGGAGGTAGGAAAGTATCTTGAGAGGCAGCACTGGGAAGGAGAGAGGGAGGCGCATTTGGGTGCCATTGCTTCTCTTTATAATTTTGCTCAGATAAATCCTAATAGTGTCCCAGAGATGTCCTCAGCACCTGCCCAGACCTGCTTTCCAAAGGAGGCACTGTAAATAATCATTTTCTTTAAGGTAGCAGCCAGCCTCTGATCCAAGCAAAGGGAGAAAAATTTTTGTTTTAAATTAGTAATAATTTTGATTCAAACTGGTAACATCCTAATATATTCCCATTATAAAGTATTTAAACGATGCCTAAGAAAACGGAATAAAATGTGGAAGTTCCTCTCATATGAGCCTTCCATTCCTATTTTCTCTGTTAACAATATCAGACCTGGCCTGTATATTTATATATATCAACATAGGTTTCTACTGTACCCAGTGTTTTGTGACTGTCCTTTCAGTGAATGATCAGTCTTTGCAATTTGCCATGTCAGTTCATAAAGCCTATTTCATTTGTTTTTATGGCTGCATAATATTCCTTAGTATCACTCTGTCATAACTTACTCAACCCATCACATCTTGATGAGCACTTGGGTTTTTCTTTCTGTTAGAAATATTGCTGCATTCTTTTGGGGATATGTGTTTTTCCACCACACACAGATTTAATAGCACAGTAGATGAGAACTGCTTATATTCAAATGGTAGGCTTTAGTATTTACTAGCAGTGTAACTGGGGCAATTACCAACCTCCTCAGTTTTCTTAAACTGTAAAGTGGGGATAGGCAATAATAATAATTACCTATTTCAAGCATTGTTGTGTCAACAATTTAGAACATTGCCTAGTACATATGAAGTGTCAATAAATAATAATATTCCAGAATGTACCTTAATTTACACATTATTTAACAGCCCAGTTTTTAACAGTAATAGTATACCTGCCTACACAAATCAAATAAGGTTTTTAACAGAAAAAAATTAGTCTTCAGAATTATAAATTCTGCCAGGATTTATTTCTCAAATTCCTTACTACATCAAGGTCTATTTATAATTATGTCAAAGTATTTTGAAGTACGGGTGAGTTCTTTCTTCATTTAAAAAAAAAGATGTTTTCAATCTATTGCTCAATCTTGAACTAACCCAAGTTTATATCCCTTGAATTACTACAGAGCTTTAACTAGGAGACCAGTACCAATGTAAGTTCAGCCCTCACTTCACCTTGAATAATTATTTTGGAAGCTAAATCTGCTTTGCTTCTCAGGTTAATGAAAAGTAGCCTCAATGGAGATACCATCCGAACACAAGAGCTGTCATTTATCATTAGAACAGTGGGCCGACAGTTTCCTGGACACTTATTGGCATGGGATTTTGTCAAAGAGAACTGGAATAAGCTTGTACAGAAGTAAGTTTCTCAGAGAATTACTATCTTCTAGTATTTTCAGTCTCTGCCTTTGAAAAATTTTCCCAGCGTTGCATTGGTTCACACTTGTTATGATTTGCTGTGAGAGGAAAAATGCTTCAGTGACATTTAGCTGGAACACGCAGGAATTTTTGCATGTGTAAACATAATTCCATTATGTGAGTCAACAACTGATGTTCCAGTTGGGTACTAATCAAGCCTAACCATGCTTGGCCCCAGGCCACTTAGTTTAGCTTGGCCGTGGGCTGTTTCAGAAAAGCTGTTTACTTACAGAGTTGAATAATGCCTCTTCATTGCCAAGGGATCCGTTAAGAACTCACATCCAGGTAGGCAGCACGTGCAGGGTTTTTTCTTTTAAAGCAATAATTACATTTCTGGGTGTTCGATGTGATTTTTGAGTAGATGAAATGGATTAGTAATTTATGTGGCTATCCCTCACTCTGGCCCTTTTCTGCCCACCTTTCCATACCACCAGCAGTAAGTGTGTGGAGAACTGATTTACTGAGCTGCAGTTCCCAGCAGCAGGACTCTGCTCTGCCTTTGGCATGTGTAGCTTACAGTAAAGCATTTCCTTTGCCCTCGGGAACTTAGCTTACCAACAGCTGCTTCTTTTTTTTTTGCTCTTTTTGCTCTTGTATTTGTGTTTCTTCAGGTTCCATCTGGGCTCCTATACCATGCAAAGCATTGTTGCTGGATCGACTCACCTGTTTTCAACAAAGGCACATTTGTCAGAGGTTGGTTGTATAAAATGCTAATAAAGGAGCTGGGGTATCCCTTGCCTCACAGGCTGCTCAGTTTACGTCAATGGCAGCTCTTCCTATCCGTCCTCTCCCTCCCTCAATGTTAATGATTCTGTGTTAGGATTGCTTTTAAAGGATAGATATATAGCAATGAGAAAAAAATTCCAATGAGGAAAAATTCTGATTCCATTCTCAACAATACCCCCTTGTCTTCCTGATACAAGTATTTTTTTTAATTAAAGCCAGTATATGCCAAGTTTGTTTTTAGGTGGTAATGGAATAGTTTTGAAGAATGCCACTCTAAGAGTAAAAGTGGGCACCAAGCCTAGCTTTCGACTCTACGTCATTTGCTGTTACCTGGCCATTTTATTTTTTTATTTTTAATTTGAAAAATTAACCCTTTTGGGAGTGAGGAGAATGCATTTTTTAAAATTACTTCAGATTTCATCATACTTGATCAGCAATTTGATGTAAACACCTTGGATATTAAAGTACTTCTTATCTCTACTTCTTTCAAGACATCAGCAAAGCCACCACCAAATGAAAGTTTATTTGAAAAGACTGGTTAGAGTTACCTGAGATTTACTGTTTGTTTCTTGTAGTAAAACATTTCTCTGTGCAACTTACAGGTACAGGCATTCTTTGAAAATCAGTCCGAGGCAACCTTTCGGCTTCGTTGTGTCCAGGAGGCTTTGGAAGTCATTCAGTTGAATATCCAGTGGATGGAGAAGAACCTTAACACTCTGACGTGGTGGCTGTAGCATGCAAAACTGCACCTCATTTTGTCGCCCATTCAGAGAGCGTGTTAACTGGGGCTCTGTTAACTTTTGCAAAAGCCAAGGTGAAGCCAAGGATTGCTGCTGAGTTGTTTGCACTCTTAGGAGTTGTAGTTAGCTCAGGGCCTGTCTGTATTTTTCATCAGTCTTTCGTGAAATGTCATTGGGTAATATGTAGTTATTTATTACAAAATTATATTCACCTATATACCAAGCATCTACAAAAACAATGAGTAATTTTTCTACTTTGAAGGTACGCAAATGAGGAATAAAATCTCTTTTGGAATTCTCTTTTTATTTCTCGGTATCCGTAAAGTACTGACTCAGTGAACAAAGAAAAATCTACTATGGGAGCTACCATCTTTGTAGGCTGCTGGTTTGTGAGCCATTTGTTGCTTCTTGTTGATAGATGTTATTTGAATGTGGTAACAGCTTCAAAAAAGTATGACAGTGAAATTGATGAAGCATGCAGCTATAGAGAACTAATCTCAGGTGTGCAGATCTACTTTGATTTGGGGTTTTGATTAATCCTTTATTTCCTGGAAAATTTTTAAATAAGAACTCTAACTATTATATTTTTTTCTGCAGAATAGCCAGGTGCTACAGAATTTTTAAATTTTTGTTATATTGAAAAGCTAAATAACAAGGCCAAAAGATTAAAATTTCCCAATATTTAATGCTTTCTTTATCATCTTTTAGGTAAATGATTCAAACCAAGTTAGCTTTAATTATAATTACTTTATTCATAAATTTAAATATTATCCAAATCTGTACACTTTTATCACTCCCTGCCATAGATGTACTTTATGTTATAATTAAGTATTTCCACAGTTATATGAGCATTTTGTTAGTACTGATGTCTTTTATCATGACTTTATCACTGTTGCTAAGAATACAGGTTGTTTTAGATGCCTTTTGGCATGATAGATTATAGACACTTTATCTCTGAATCATACTTATGGATGGATTTTCATTTTATATGATAGAGTAGCACATTAGAAACATTTTAAAGTAGGGCGTTTGAGAAATTGAACATTTTTATTTGAAGTTCACCATAGTACCTTAAAGGAATAAAGAGAATGTGAAATAGAGGTAACTTGATTCAGGTTTAATATGGTGGGCTTTGAATTTTTGTACTATCAAATACAGTACTTTTATTTAGTTGAAAATTCATAGTTTTATTTTATCATGGGTAAACTAACAGATGAAAAGAAATGTCCAAGTAAAGGAAGGAAGGAAGGAAGGAAGAAACACAAAACTGCCTGGCATTTTTACTCCTTCGAAAGGAGAAATTCTGTACTTGAATTTGTTAAGCTGTGCAGACTTATACCTAGATTGTTGAGTTTCTTTGATTCTTAGGAGAAAAACTTTCTTTCTAATAATTCTTATACTTTATATTTTGTTTGAAAACATCTTCTATGTACAAAAAGGGTAACTGCCCATTTGCAAGCACTTAAAAACACTTTACAGAATCAGACAATGGGAAAAGTCACCTTTTTTTTATTCTGCAAGTGTAAAGTGAAAATATGTGGGATTGTGTATAAAATTATATTTTATTTTATGAAAATATTTTTATATAACAAAATTTAAAAGGCTGACAAACTAAAAGATATCCTTCTTTACCCCTACTGTGTTTTCGCCCAATTTAGTCTTTTTTAAATATTTATCTGCCTGTTTTAGAGTAGAAAATATTATATCCAGAGAATCACAGAATCATCTAAAGATGTCTTATTGAAACTGGGGTAATTATAGGTCTTTATTCCTTTTGTGTTCAGTAAATGAATGATAGTTTAGTTGATAATGGAAGTTAGTGAGTTTTTATATTTTTAGAATGGAAAAAAATACTAAACTTTTGAGGGATATTTTTTGTTGCTGTTTTTTTACCATACTATATTACTAAATTCCACTTTGATACAGAGTTTAAATTTTGCTACTTCTCAAAATCAGTTAAGATACTTCAGTTTTACTTTCCCATCTTTACATTGCTCCTATAACACACATTAACTGTGTAAATGGCAAATCTTGTCTTGAATTATATCAGTTTTTCGTGTGTGTGTGTGTGTGTGTGTGTGTGTGTGTGTGTGTGTGTGTGTGTGTGGGGGTATTATTATAAGTAAAAACTTACAGAAACTTTGGCTAAAAAAGAGTTAACTCATAATCCATTGCTATCTTTGAACTCAAAAGCCATTCATTTGCATGAGACCAGATCCATATTATTTGTAGTTTTATTTGTGAGCCTCACTTCATATTATTTGCATTTTAGTAGGTCTCGCCTCAAATTTTCCCACAGAATTCCATAGTTTTTAATGTTATGCTAACCCATTAGGTGAGGCTTCTAAAAACTAACCCAAGTGAGGACTATAAGGTTAAGTAATAGGTAAAACATGTAGTATAATATGTTTAGTTGTAGCTTTTGAAGTTTTTTTCCCCAAAACTATCTTAGCCACTGTATTTCTGAGAACTCATATAGATTAAAGCACAGTAGCCAGTCACAGTGTGCTTTTTTATGTAAGCCTGCAGGTCCATGACACAAGCACTTGTTTGGCAAGTATTACACTCATTGCAGAGAGACAGTCTACTTGAATGAAAAAGACACATCACAGGAGATTCTTAGGAAAGGTAGAATAGGAAACCTGGAATTGTGGGACACAAATTTATGCTTTGGAGATCTTAAAGGCCATATTGAAGTAGCAATCTAAGGAGTTCAGTTTATTCTGTTAATATCAAGTGATTGGACATAGTAAACTGCAAGGAGTATCTACCTCCATGTTACTTTTTTTTATATAAATCTCATCAAGAAGTTCTGTTCTTTGCCATTGCTTCAGTGTTCATGAACTTTCTTATGGTCACGGGTTCCACTTAATTCTAATCATCTTTGCCATTTCATGTTTTCATTGAACTGTACTTTAGCCATTGTAGTGGGAGAAAAAATCTGGCAGAAGAGCCCTGGGTACTGCATCTGTCCTACTACATGCAGAATAGAATCCTTTCTGAATATTGGAAAGTGAAAAATGAAAGTTAAGTGTTGGGTTTGTCATTACTGATTAGCCTGTTAACCAAGTTAAATTTTAAAAGAGTGTACTCAGACTTAAGCGCCTGGAATCATAATCTGCAGTCAGATTGCTGAACGTTCACATAATCCCCGTGAGTTTCGTGTGACTGCAGATAGGGTGTTTACCGTTACCAAGGATAGCAGTTCCTGGGCTGAGTTGGCAAAACGAGACCTGAATTTTCTGAGTATGATGTAGCTCTTCTTTTCCTGTTACCTTTGTTTTTATTGGAATTAACTCTCTTTTTAAAGAGTTTCCTCCTACCCCCATTTGTTTTTTTAAAAAATAATGTATATAATTTTGCAGTTTTTTGTATTCTTTTATTTTGTGCTTCATTCTCTCTCTGCATTGGCAAGTAAGTACCAAATGAAAAGTGGAGGTCCAAAAGTATGATATAACTCTCCTCTTCTCCCTTTCCCTTATTGCCGGTACAGGCAATAGTTGATAGAATAGTCAACTGATTTCTTTCAGGGACTATTTGGGGGTATATATACTTTAAAATGTACATAGGGTTTTTGGTGTGTTTTTATATTCTTTCATTTTGTATATTTTGTCCTAATGAAAAGTGAAATGTTGTCCATGAAAATCTCTTCTGCCTTCCCATATTGTCTGTGTGGGCAACAGCTATAAAGTTTTTTATTGCTTTTTTTGGAAGGAAGTGGTGATATTGAGAGGAGAGCAGTGTATGTCCTTTGAAAAACATGTACAAATATCTTTGCTGCTCTTTTGTGGATGTTGTTTCATTTTTGTATTTTATTCATCCTTCATGAATATGCAGACATCTAATGAACCATGGAGGCCCACAAGTATGACAAATGTCCCATTTACTCTCTTTATTACCTGCATGGACAATACCTAATAGAGTATTGTTGCTATTGTTTTGACCTAGTCTTAGAGGTAGGAGGAGATCTGTATCATTCTTTAAAGTGTACATAAATGTTACGCTGCTTATTTATATTTCATTTTAAACGTGTTCTTTTGCATGGGTGCGTATGTACTTAATGAAAATGAGGTCCAGAGGATGACAGATTTCCTCTTTTCCTTATTGCCTTTTTGGACAATAGCTAATAGAGTAGTTTGTTTTGTTTTGTGGTGTAGGAGAGAATGGGGTATGCACTTAATGTATGTAAGCAGAGTTGCTACTACTTTGTATTACTAATTCATTTTGTACTGTGTCCTTCTCATAGGATGTTTAAGTACCTATTGAGACCTGGAGGTCCAGATGTATGACAGTCACCTCTGGTCCCCTTCCCTAATTGCCTGCATGGGCAATGAGTAGTATTAGTATTGTAGTTATTAGAGTGGGTTTGGGTGGTGTGGTCAGGGAAAGGTAGGCAGGGATGTGTACCTACTATATATCTGTTTTTACTACTGTGTTGTATTATTTCATTGGGTGCCCAGACTGTAAGGTGCCTAATGAACCATGGAGGTCCAGATGTATAACAGTTCCTCTTCTCCCCTTCCCTTATTGCCAGTGGAGGCAGTGGCTATTAGAGCACTTGATTAGTTTCAGAGTTCTTTTGTGGGTATTGGGGTAACTATTGTACTTTTTACTTTCTTATATTTCATTGGGCACCTAATCCTTTCACTTGGACATGTAGGTTGCTAATAAATGATGGAGTTCTGGATGTATAGCAATCTCCTATTCTTTCTTTTATATCTCTGTAGGCAATAATTTTAAAGTAGTTGGGGTTTTTTGAAGTCTTTTTGGGAGGGGGCTTGGAGAAACTAAGGAAAGGATATATCCTTTTTAAACTGTATATTGCAGTGTTTGTTATTAAGTTTTGTTACTCTATTCTGTACCCTGTCCCTTCCTTGGACGTGTAGATACCTAATGAGACACGGAGGTCCGAATGTATGAAAATCTCCTCTTTTCCCCTTCCCTTATTGCCTCTGTGGGCAATAGTTTTGGAGTAGTGTAGATTATTTTTTACTCTACCACTCCCTCCCCTGGGATGGTGGTAATATGTACTTTTAAAGATGTATATAAATATTTTCACTTTTTTCTCTCATTTCATTTTGTACCTAGACTTTTCCATGGACACGTAGGTACATGATGAAAATTAAGGTTCATTCTATAAAAAAAAAATCTTCACTCCTTCCTTTCCCTGTTGCCTGTCTAGGCAGAGGTCCAGACCCAGAGCTGTGGTAAATCTGTACCCCCTTACCCTGTAGCCTATGTACGTGGACTTAGTATGAGAATACTGTAGAGCTGGGGGTGTGTGTGTTTGTTTTTTAAGGTTTTTAATGGGGAATTGGATTTTTAGGCAAGATATGTAGTTTTGAATTTGTATATAAATGTTTTTCCTCTTTTTGTTGCTCACTTTATTTTGAATATAGTTCTTTGCATGACTACTTAGGTACTTCATGAAAGCTGAGATTGATTCTATGAAATATCTTCCCTACTTCCCTCCCCCCATTGCCTGGCGGGCAGTGGTAGAAGAATAGATGTTTGGCTGCTTTTTCTGGAGGGGTAGGAGTGTGGGGGAGGTCTGGGTGTGTGTACATGTGTGGTGTGTGTGGGTTGTGTATTTTTTAATGTATATAAATGTTTGCTACATTTGTGTATTATTTAATGTAGTGCTCAGCCCTTTGCTGGGACTTGTAAGTATATAATGAAACATGGAGGTCCAGACCTATGATAACTGTCCTCTGCTCCCCTTCCCTCACTGCCTGCATAGGCAGTAGTTTTATAATGTGGGTTTGTTTTTTTAGGGGGAGGGATTATTTGGGTGGGTAGGGCAGGGTATGAACTTTAAAAAATATATAGGTGTGTGTATACATATGATTATACATATATATGTATACATATATACCTATATATATATATGATTTTCTTATACCTATATATATATATATGATTTTCTTATACCTAGTCCTCAGCATAGATGTATAGGTACCAAATGAAAATTGAGGATCAGTGTGTGACAGACCTCCCCTCTCCTCTGCCCCTTATTGCCTGTGTGGGTATATTAGTGACTAGATTAGTTGTGTGTTGTTTACTGGCTTGTTGTTTTGGAGGGATTTATATTTTCAGCAGAGAAATGTTTTTAATGTATATAAGTATGTTTTCATTTCTTTGTTAATGCATTTGTATTTAGCCCTTTGCATGGCTATATAGGGGCCTGATGAAAATTGAGTTTCATAAATTGACAGTTCATTTCTTCCTTTCCCACATTTTTTCTGGTTTAGCAGTGGCTAGTACAGTTGTTGTTTTGTGGTCAGTTTGTTTTATTCTCTAGCATATATGTCTATAAAGATGTAAATACACAGACATAATTGGCTTCTTTTTAAAATTATTTTCCTTTACTACTTAAGTGTCTTGCAGAGCTCTGAATGTATCTAACAAAAATAAAGTCCCACCAAATCCCTGCCATCTGACTTGAAGGTGTAGCACGGTGGTGGTGTTACTAATGGCAACTGGCATGTAGCCAGGAAGGTGGGAGAAGACCCTGGGATATGGCTGAGCTGTGAAAGCTAACAAGATCCAGCTTTTCCTAGATTGATTCAGACTGAATGAAATGGTGGGAAGAAACCTATACTTTGGAAATTCCAGGAAGGCAAGAGGACAATACTAAGTAAAATTATGTTTAAAGTTTATTACTGATTAATCTTTCAGTGACTGGTAAGCAAATAAAAGTCCCTTGAGAGTAGCTTCTTTTGAGGCCTGGAATTCTGATTCATCTATAGAAGTCTGCTGCAGTTTTGCCCATGGCATATTCTTGTATACCGGCTAAAAATTATTTTGATTTTTGGAATAAACTTTTTAAGTTATTGCCATGGTTCCAGTGAATGACAAAATGGGCCCCCGAACTAATCCAAAATGAATTTGGGGGACAAGCCCTTCACTCTTTCAACACCCACATATGGTAAGGCAAGCTGGTCCTACCCAGGGCTCTTCTGTGTGGCTACCTCTCTCTCCTCAGTTCTCCATTAGCTGGACCACTCCTGTTCTTTTTTTCCTTTATTCTTCAGTGTCTGCACCATTAGATGTTATCTTTTAAGTGCACTCAAAAATGTAAGC